AAATATATATATTTATTTGTAATAAACATAATTTGACATAGCGAGCGAGTCAAAAGAGAGTTTCAGAGAAAGGCAGAGAGAAAGAGATAGAGAGAGCAAGAGGGAGACAGAAAGAGAAAAGCGAGAGACAGATAGGGAATGGGAGACAAACAGTTAAAAAAAAACAAAAAAAAAAAAAAAACAAACAAAAATTGGGCATACTTTTTATATACAACATCTAAACACTTAGAATGTTAAAGACAAGACGGGTTGGTAGAGGTATATAAAACATATATAGAAAGAGAATTATACCTATATAAAGGGAGGGACACGATTGTAATTCGGCTTTGGAAAAATTGATGTTAATTTAAATTAACATGGAAAGATATATGCATATAACATAGAAACATATGTTAATTTACATCATTTTAATCTCTAAATATTTTTGTATCTTTGTAGTCGGGTCATAAAATATATGGACGGAAATATATATTTTTTCTATAAATAGAAAAATATATATTATATTTACAAATATATGTTTCGCGCTTATATGTAGAAAGGAGCAGAGAGAGAGAGAGAGAAAAGCGTGAAGCCTTGTTTGGTTAGATTTTGACCCAAAGACTTTATTCTCTTGCCCTTATATCTATTTAGAAATAGAGATCAACGCACACGGATATAAAAGTCAAGAGAGAGAGAGAGAGAGAGAGAGCTAGAAGCGCTTTTGGGGCCAATCAAATTATTGGCTCTTAAACGGAAACAGAGTGATAGAGGTAGCGTACAAATAGAGTGAGTGAGACAGAGGGAGAGGGAGAGAGAGACACAGAGAGATAGAGGCATACGGGTGTGCTAATTGGAGAAAACGAAATCACTCACCGTCGTAATCGCTGCCAGCTGTAACGGTATGTCCTTGCACYTGCGCCTGCGCCTGCGCGGCCATTAGATGGCTCTGGAACTCCTCCTCGGAGCTACTGAAGGATCGCTGCTGCTGTGAGGCGTACTGTGCGCCAGCCAAGGAGCGCCGCTGCTGTTGCTGCTGCTGCTGCTGATTGTAGGTGGTGGCATCCATGGCGTGGCCCCCACTGATCGTCAGGTTGCGCGTCAGCGGTGGCGCCTTCTGGTAGCCACTGCCCCCACCCAGTTGCGCTGGCTGCGAATGAATCTGCGCGTGTGTCGAGGATCCTTGATACGGTTGCTGCTGTTGAAGCATTCGCTGCTGTTGCTGCTGCTGCTGCTGTGGCTGCTGTAGCTGTTGCTGCTGATGTTGCTGCTGCTGCTGCTGTTGCATATGTTGCTGGCGTGCATTGAATCGCTGCTGCTGCGGCATTAAATGTTGCTGTGGTTGTTGCTGTTGCGACTGCTGCTGCTGCTGCTGTTGCTGCTGTTGCTGCTGTGGCTGCTGCTGCACCTGGCTCGGATGTGCCAGGTGTGGATGTTGTCGCATCAGACCATCCAGCTCGCCCTGCAGGGACAGATAAAATCATAAATTTTCACGTTATGAAAACGAAGTGAATATGTCATTCTTGTTATTCGATTATTCGTGATTATATGATTATTTCATATTTAATAAATAAATAAATAAATATTATTTATTGAAGCCAAGTATGTTTATTAATTTTTATTTACTGATTTTCCAATATAATATGCACACATTTAAATTTTTTCAAATTGGCAAGTATATTTTTATTAATTTCTTCTCTTTTTCCCTTCTTTTTTATCTTTTCATGTTCCTTCTTTTTATCGACTTCTTACCTTCTATTTTCTAGCATCTGTATTCTCTCTTCTACATTCTGTTCAGACTCTGTTCTTTATTTTCTTCCCTCAGCTTTTTTCCATTTCTTTCTTTTCTGTCTTCTCACTTCTCCTATTTTGCATCTCACCATATTCCTTACATTTCTCTCTTTGCTTTTCTCTCTGCACGCTTCGCTGTTTTCTGACCAGGCTTCATCGTATTTTTTGTCCTCTTCCTTACATATCTTCACATATTTGTTCTCCTCATATTTTCCCTCTTGATCTGTCTATATTTGTATTTTCATCTAGACTTGTTTTCTCTTCTATCTTCTTCTAATTACATCATTAAATTGATTCTCACTAAAATTTGAACTGCATTTTTATATGTTCATTTTCATCAGATTGCCTCAGTGTTACTATATTTATGTACTACCTATATCAACATCATTTTATATAATAAATAAATATATAAATCAATTTCAATTTTATACAAAATCTGTGTACTTATATCGCTTACTTATATTTTATACAATTTATCAATTGTATCTATTATTCGCATATCTTAGTTACAATCTCCTGATAAATCAGATTATGTTTGCTATATACCAGAGTCCTTAGTTTCAATAGTTTCAAAATAAATTCAAATTATTATATTTTATCTAAAATTCATTCTCAATTCCATAAGCTCACCTGATAGTAACGCGGATCATCCTCTGGATAGGCGCCCGATCTCTGTGGATGCTGCTGCTGTCCGTAGCCCAGTTGTTGTTGCTGCTGCTGCTGCAGTTGTTGCTGCTGGAGTTGATATTGTTGCGCCTGCTGCGGATTCATGGGCTGCATGCGCTGGCGCTGTGGCAGCTGCTGTTGCTGCATCTGCTGTTGCCCAGGACTCAGCGGCTCCATGCCGCTGTCGGAGACGGAGAGGCGACGATTCGTTGGCTGCTCCTGCTGCGAATATTGGCGACGCAGCATGCTGCCAGCCCGCTGCATGGGCAGGTTCTCCTTCTCGGCAGCACTGCGCGTGCGCTCCAGCTTCGGCCGCTTGTCCGTCGAATCGCGTGGATCGACAATGGCCTGCTGCGAGATGTCCTGCAAAGAGAGGGGGTAAGAGAGCGAGAGCTAACTTGATTTCCCTTTAGCTTGAAATTCAATCTACTTACGCTGCTGCCGTCGGGTTCGATGCGCCGTATGAAACCATCTTGCTGCACCGCCGTCTTGTTTATCCACTGGCCCGTTTTGGAGAGCAGCTCCTGCTTCTTGCGGCACAGGATACACACCCAGATCACCTGCAAGCGGAACAGAATCAAGTGAGTGAGATTAACGTCAGCAGCTGCCACCCAAAAAATATTCACTTAGTTTCTATTTTAGCGTTCGATTTTTTTTTTTGGTTTTTTGCTTTTTTGGGGGGAATATGTCACAGCCTTTAGATGAGAATCACTTGCATCAGTTCATTGCGCCCACCACGCTCCTCTTCTACTTCAACGAGCTGTGGGAGCTATGGAACACCTTTAGCTGCCACCTGATTACGTACATAGAGCGTGGTCGAGGTGAATATTTCGCGGGCTTCTGCAGTTTTCACTTTTGCTGGCACACGACAGAGCTGGCAGAAGGGGAAGAGGTGGAGGAGGAGGAGGAGGAGGAGGAGGAAGTAGAGGAGGAGGAGGAGCAGCTAGAGCAGCTGGACGATGTCGACGACCAATTGGAGTATAGCGTGGACAACGAAAGCAGCCTCCAGCCCGAAGTGGAGCACGATATGGAGCAGAGGCAACAGAGTCTTTATCGTTTGCTTCACATGTCGCTCATATTCCGCGCCTCTCATTTCAGTCAAAGTTGAGATGGCCGGAAGAGCCAGAAGGAAATCGAAATTCTATATCGCTTTCGTCTCCATGCAGAAATTTTTAAAGACTTTGCAGTTCCACCATCTATGTGTGTGAACGTCTATGCATGTGTGTGTGTGTGTGTGTGTCTGTGCCTTTGTCTGTGTGTGGCATCTTGGCAAAGCTTCAACAGAACGTTTGGCAACGTGGCCAGCAAATGATAACCCGCCATGCCAATAGAAAGCCAGCCAACCAGCCAGACCGTCACGGCTCGCTGGCTTAAATAAAAATTGAAAAACGTGTAATTGAAATGCAATGCAATGTGAAATGGTGTGCCAACTGCTGAAATGCTCAGCCTCCACTCCCGGCTCCATCCCAAAGGCAATTGTATTTTGTTAAATTTCAATATGGTAACCAAAATCTATGAGCTCTCGATGCACTAGAGATGCTGTAAGTTCTTTGCGTTTCAACTAGTTGAAGATTTTCCTTTCAAACTAAATAAAATCATTTTAATGATATAGGTGTTTAAATTCTATGGTGATTAGATGAACATCTCAATATCTGGTTATGTAAAGCATTTTAGGGCATTAGTGCCCCTAAAATTATAATGTAACAGCGGCAATTGGATCTTAGAAGGAACCAGAATGCAAAGATGTTTGACGCTGTTCAGCTCTGCTTGTCACGTGGATGGGCCATTTTATTTAATAACGCTTTTCATGTGGGTTAGCCGATTTTCAGTCAATTTTCAACATACAATCTACATATTTTTAATTCAATGGGAATAGTATAGAAATTTCTTTACGATACATCAATTCAAAGATTGTGACAAAACTTTAAGCTGATTTCTACAACATAACAAAAATCGAAATTCTATTAAATACACATAGAGCTATATTTGGATAGTTTATATACAAATAAACTCGACATTTAATTTCATAGCTGCATTTCAATAGAGGTTTTACATTAAAGGAAATGGTTATTGATATTTTGGAACAACACTATCTGCGTGTGCTATAGAGGGACTTGCAAGTCTCTGATTGTAAGTTATATGATGAACTCATTTACACATACGGACAGACGAACGAACGGACAGATAAAGAACATACACACGTTATAGAACTCGCTAAACCCCCTTCTGACTGGTACGTACATTTCAACAATATCCCTTAATCCATTTGATTATCGTTTGAAAATTTCGTGCACGCATCGATAGCTCTTTAAATAGGTACAAATATCTTGATAGTCAAACTGAAAGCTCAATAGAGTGATAATATAATATAATGTATTCAATTTGCTTAAATAAAGTTCAATCTACCTGAAATATCTCGATCAATAAGCATAATATTTATAATCAAAATGAAAAAATCTATCCATCTTTCACTATTGTAATGTAATTAGAATTGGATTATTCAAGTTGAATTTACTTCAGAGTTTGTTTTCCCTCATAGCTAAGCTAATGGCTTTGGCTATTTTAAGATTCAATTTCAGTAGCCTTGTGAGCTAGCTAGCGCTTCTCAATGCCAGAAATCAAGTGTCGAATTGACCCCCAAAAACATTGTCATTTAAAACTAATAAAAAAAAAAATAAACACCCAATAAATATTTTCTGGGCTTTGTGTGGGCAAGGCTTCGGCGAGATTCGCGATGGCGATTATTTATGAGTGGCTCACGCGGCGTTTGGGCAATTGTAAGAGCGAACGCTGGCCAAGGGAGCGTATGAGCGATGGGGTCGATTCAATGAGCAGCAGCAGCCGTAGCAGCGGCAGAGGAGGTCGTCAGTATAGCTGGCGACAGAGTGTCATCCAATTTATCAATGGCTGGAAAATGAGCAGACTTCACCTCTCCTCGCCTCGCCTTGTCCTAGGCTTCAGCTCGCCTTGCATGGAGCTGGCTCCACACGTCGTCGAGTGACAGCCGCGTCTAATGGCTCTTGAAATTGCGAACTGTAAAATGTGTCACGCTGTCAACTCCCATGGACAGTAAGAAGACGAGAGACGAGAGAGTGAGAGAGGGTCACAGAGCGAGAGAAAGAGAGAAAGAGAGAAAGGGAGGAGAGAGGTGTGCTTGCACTTACCTTGTTGCTGCGCAGCGTTACTTTGCCGCCGCAGCGGGCGCAGCAGCGTATGTTGCAATAATGGCAAATGTGGCCAACGCCATCGGCAAACTTGGTCTTAAGGCATATGTGACAGGTGGCATCCAGCTCGACGCCGGCCTTCTTCTGCTGCTCGGATCGCTGTCTGATTTGCATCTCCAGCGTAACGACTTCGTCCTGTTTGCGTCTGTGAAAATCCATTTGAATGTGATTTTTAGTTAGATTTAAAAAAAAAAACTTAAGCATCGGAACAACAAGGATTTTGGCTAAAAATAGGCGACAGCATGACAGTTCTGAAGGTAGTCCCTGAAGCTTAGCTGGATTTACCTCTAAAATCAAAAATTCTTACATTTCACTATATGTTGCTATTATTATGTACTATTTATTCTAATGTTGATCCATCCGAAGTTATCTAGTTTGAAATACATAATGGCATATACTATATAATAAGCATATAATTTGAGCCTAACTGAAAACTATTTCAGAATGTTCTTATGAAACAGCAAAAACTGATTTTATTGGAATTTAGATATTCACAATTTCCTAATCTGATTATTGACTGCAAAATAATGCCATCATATATTTTTTATACCCTGAACCCATTGAAAATGGGAAATCAGGGTATAATGGTTTTGTGAAAAAGTATGTAACGGGCAGAAGGAGACGTGGCAGACCCCACAAAGTATCTTAATCAGCGCGACGAGCTGAGTCGATATAGCCCTGTCCGTCTGTCCGTCCGCCCGTATGAGTGCGTCGATCTCAGAAGTTATACGAGCTAGAGAGCTGAAATTCGGCATGCATACTCGTGTGTACCATACGCAGTACGAGTTTGCTTTATTTTTTCGATAAATCGTCTGATAACTTTTTTATCGAGAATAATCGAAAAATTGATTTTGTTTTTTTTAGCTTAATTTGAACACTTTTAGATTTGGAGTCTTCAAATTCGCGTTGTATATAAAGTTAATCGATACAAAGATTTTATAATTTACAGATTTTTGATACCACGCCCCCTTCTCCTCCAATTTGTAAAAAACGCATTTCAAGTACTAGAGACTTGTGCTTTGAAATGTATACACATTATGATTATGTTCTGAAAGTTTCATTAAGATCGTATGTCTACAAAAGAAATTATTCAACAAATAAATTCTCATAATATAGCCCACACTGCAGCGCAGCCCAAGCGCAGTCGCTGCTTACTGCGCAGTTAGCAGAGCGCAGGCTTATGCGTGCGTGTGGATGCATGTGTATGTATGTGTGCATAAAATAGGTGCAGAATGATTAGAATATCAGCTCAGAGGCTTCTCCTAGTCGAGCAGTCTCGACTGGAGCCTTCTTACTTGTCTATATTTTCATTATATATATTTTATACCTACATATGTCTGCATCCAAGTTAATATCAACTGAGGGGGAGAACACAACCTAGTGGTATACAACCAATTGGTATTTTTCGGTTAAATTCGGACGAGAGAGAGAGAGAGAGAGAGCGGGAGAGAGAGAGCTTATACTAAACTTGTAATTAGATACACAGTAGTATGAAAACGGGTTCATTTCACTGAGTAAGTTTATTTACAAGTCTTCGGGAATGTAGGATTCGGCTCCCATAATCGCTAGTGTAGTCGAGCTAAACTTATATACATACATATCTACTTATATTATAATATATGTAGTTATGTATATATAGTTAGTTTTCCCAACTGGGGCAATCTCAGTCTGATAAGACATTTGTAAATTTTTGGGATGGTGCGGCAGAATGGGGGAAAAGGTATGAATTAGTTTGTTTCTATTTTGTGATGATACCACCAGCCTAGGAAGATGCGAGCGTTGCCGCCGACGTTATATACGTTACTATAATCTTTTGAGCGACATTATATCTATTAATTTATTAAAAGACCAGAAATACGATAGTAAGCCACTATAAGATTTAAGGTTAACATTTAAACGTGTCGATAGCTGAGACGATCGATAGTTGGCGGGACTGTCATAATAAGAAATTACAGAACAAGAAGATAAAGGTCAGCAGAGTTGAGTCTTAATTGAAAATCTCACACATTGAAAAGAAAAACTCGGTGAGGAATCGTAATCTCAATAAATTGATAGATGATGATTAGAGCAATTTTAAGTAATCACAGTGTTTTGAAGTTGCTTAAGTTGAATCATTGTATTTCTCAATACTCAGTTCGTAAGTCTCATTGCGCGAATGTCAATCGTATCGCTCCTTAGGCAATGTACCTAAAGAATGAACCGAATTCGTTTGCTCGGAGCGTGTGCAAGAATCATTTTCAGGCTTTGTTTATTACATATCGAAAAAAAAAACAGAAGAAGGACGAGCCAGATCTCTGCCCTTCATTCCACTAGAGTGACAGAACTACTTAGCTTACTTATCTACAACAGGACTTTAACAGTCCTGTTAAGCATGTCACTGTTGACGATGTAATGATAGCAATTTTGGTTAATAGTGGAGGCATTGACCTGGCCCCGCTACACGACGCTATCCCTTATCTGTTTACCTGTGTTATCTTTCATTTATAATTTAATATCTATATTTACATATACGAGTATCACAACCCAAAACAAGTGTTGTCTTACATCTGCTATCTGCTATCTGCATAACCCGTTATCTGATATCCCTATCTATATAATATGATATTATCGTTTGTATGTAATGTGCTACCGAATCTACTTACCGCATTATCTCATTTTGCTTCTCCTCCTCCTGCTTCTGCCGCATGAGCACATTTTCAATTTGCATGCGCTCGTGCGGCGTCAAATGCGACAAATCTGGCATTTCGTCCATGGCGTTCTGCTGGCACTGGTTCCCGAACTGGTTCTTTATGTTATTATGCGCTTGTTTTGTTGGTTTCGCACATAAAAACTAAATATTAGTTGCACTAATTTCGTTAGCAAATCGCTGCTATAATAAATGAATTACTTTACGACTTTGTAGAATTTCTTGTTGGTTTTGTTTTGGTTTTGGGAATTTTTAAAGCTTCTCTCTTTATGTATATATATTTAAATAACATTTGGTTTTGAATGCAATTAGGCAATATTTATAAATATAATATTTTGTATTTATTATAATTATTATTAAATTTATTTGGATTATTAATAAACCATTCTGATAGAAAATCACAGAGCAAATTTCTAAATTTTACTTTTTTTTTTACTATTTGATTTGTTGTTGTTGTTATTCTTTTTTTTGTATATTATTAATATTAAGAATTTTTTAAGATGACGGTTTTGCTGCTTTTTTTTTTGTTTTGTAATTTTGTATTTGTTGTAGACTTTTTGGAAATTCGTTGAAACGTTTTACAATGACGCAGATCAGTTTTTGCAGTTGCCCTTTCACTGTGTTCCGTATGAATGTGTGGGTGGAGTAACAGTATGCATATGTGTGCGTATGTGTGGGTGTAGATGTGCTTTGAGTGTGTTTGTGTGTGTGTGCGTGTATGGGTGTGTGCTGCACTTGACCCTTCAAGGTCAGTTCCTCTTTCCCTATTTTCGTAGTTTTAAGTCGCTTTCATATTAAAAGCAAAATTTGAATTAAACATTTGAAATTCGCCTCGATTCTGTTTTTGTTTCATTTCGCTAGCGATCTGCAATGATGTCCGGCTTCTCTTGATGTTGCTGCTGCCGTTGTTGTTTTTGTTGTTGTTATTATTAGAAATGCTGACTGTTGCCTTTGTAGTTGCTGCTCGAATGGTTGTTGCTGTTGATGTTGTTCATGTTTGATTTGTTGTTGAGTTCTGTGGGGCGATGCCATCTTTGGAAAGCGAGTCTTGCGATCAGCGCGCGATTTTTATGCAGTGCAAAATCCGTGGTCAGCACTGTAAATGGAGTGGATGAGGTGGGAGGAAAAAAGCAAGAGAAGATTAGATATATATTATTAATATAAGTCAACATTAATATTAATATTATTAGAGTATCGATAAACAGAGTTCTATATTCTAAGAGGCGATAATTATATATTTTAGTCTATACATTATAAAAATATTTTAGAATAAGTTTTTATGTATAAACAAACACAGGATTTTATTAGTGAACGGACCTTTAAAATAACTTAAGATATATGTAATCAAATTCATTCCAATCTACATCAGATAAAAGCATAAAATATTTAAAAATAGCAACAGAGCTAACGAACAAAAACCCCACAAATGCACTAATAGATACATTCATATAGAGAAGAAGTACAATGTTTCATTGGATGAAAGAGCTCAAAAGTAGAATGAACATAACCTGTGGAAATTAA